CTCTGGGGATGCCTCTTTCTCTCTCTGGGGATGTCTCACTCTCTCTGGGGATGTCTCGCTCTCTCTGAGGGGATGTTTCTAAGCAACGAGAGCATCTCAGCTGTGCTTTAAAGACCCTCCAAAAGATGTCTGATGCCCCACTGGGGTCGCAATGATCAATGGAGTAGAGGGGGGGGGGGGTCGAGTCTTTGTCTAGAGGGGGATGGGGGAGTGAGTGGGTGTGGGCAGCTACTGTAGACACTACGGAGATAGTCAGTGGAAGAGAGAGGGAGTGGGAATAGGTAAAACATTGCCTCAGGGGAAAAGGAGAAAGAGCGAATGGAAAGCAGAACTGGATGCCAGTAGCTGTTTTTAATGACGATAACGAATTGACTAAATGGTTTAGCCGTGAGGTATGCCCTGCGGTACGCAGACAAGCGTCTGCTGTTCTGAATTCCCAAGGCCCGCAGGGAAGTGACTGTCACTCTTCAGAAATGTCCCAAGCAGTCTGTTTGTCTGGCACGCTTTCTCTCGACTCTCCATCTGGGCCCTAGCTATGGATCCTTTGTCTCACTGGTTGTGTCTCTGTTAGCAGCGGATGTCACCACTCATTCATACCACATTTCCTGACTCTCTGTCTCTTTCATTCACCATTTCTTCTCCCTTTTCTCTCCTAACCATTTCCCTCTCTCTCGCTCTTGTCTTCCTGCTACCTTTGAATTCTATCCCGATTCCTATCCTCAAGTAACCGTGTTCACAACCTTCATTTCATGGCCATTTTTGTTTTTCTGTCTGGCTTGTCAAGCTGTTAAAAGCCTCCTGTCTGTCACACAACTGGACAAGTGCCTGCAAACCCTGACCCAATTTTGGCCTCCAGCACTGTTGCTAAGCCCCTCCAGCTGACTTCCCTGCTGGATATGAATATTGGCAGCTAACACTAAAGCTAAATCCCTGCACATGCAGCTTACTGGTGGGCCGGGGTGTGGCTGGCTGCAACTTCAAGCATCTGGGGTCATCCAGTTCAGTTCTAGCCTGGTCAAACCAGACTGAATGCTGCACTCACTATTGCTTCCAATGGTGAGAGCTGCGTTCAGTCTGGTTTTACCAGGCTACTAATTCCAGCCAAGGTGCATGAAGGCTGATGAAGGCTGCTATGCTGAAACCTGTTGTTTTTTGATAGTAAAGGAAGAGGACTTAAAATTCTACTTCCATTTTCCTCCAAGAGAAAATCTCTCGTAGAATTATTGTAGTCGATAGCTGGGGCCTCTGTCATCTTTGCTTTATAACAGAGGTAGGTAACCTTAAGCAAATGTGACTGTGTGTAGTTATTCCTGACCACTGAGGTTGATTTGGGCTTCAGTCACAGATTTTAACCAAAGAAGGTGGCTTTACAAACTGCAGTTGTGAATCTGAATCATTTGGATGTCCATTGGTGGGTGTGGCTTCTTGTTTCAGTTTAAGGCCTATCCCACCACCTTTTACATGACACCGGGGTCGTGTTCAGTAGGGAGAAAACGTTCTGAAACATTTTGAAACTGGGAGATACTGCCAGAACTTGCCCAACATGAACACAGATTTTTGTTTTCCGTGTGCCATATTGAACACAACTCTGGTGGGCGGAATCTCTTCAGTCGGCAGACAACCCCATATGGCATTCATAAATCTGAACTGCACTTCACTTGAAATTCCACGTTTTTTGATACCATTGTTAGGAAGACACATCAAGTTGAATGAGACATTCATATTAATCTGTATTCATCAGTATCTGTATTCATTCACAGACCCAATGAGAGGTCAGTGAGATATAGAGAGTGACTCATTCTAGTGGCTGACTTGACTCTATACAGAAGTCAGAATGGCTCTTACCATATAAAATGACTGCCCTTACAGTAAACAAGTGAATAGTCACAAACAACTATGTATTCCGTTGCCTACACAGTAATGTAGTCCCTTTAAACCTATTAGTGAGCAAAATGGTCCATTTACACTAAAAAACGAGAAGGAACTTCCATGACAATGGCATGCATAATTCAGGGTTTTATTTTTTTAGTTGTTTATGCATTTGCATAGGTGGCTTTTTGTGAATGCAGTATGTGGGTGTTTTTATTCATGTTTGTAAGTGCACGAACGTTCAGTATGCTAAGTGTGTGTATAGTGTAGTTAATCTACCAATTTTCCTTGCTGCGGAGTTGTTTTACATAGAAGTCACAGGAGAAAAGGAGAAAACACTCCAAAGCTCTTGAGGCCTCATTATAGCTGTGATCAGTGCAGCCGTACAGCAGCGTCTGACAACCACACACAAGATCTCTACAGTCTGAACAATGATTGGCTGAATCAGGTGTGTTATTGCAGGACTGGAGTGAAAACCTGCATACTTAGTAGTGCTGGAGACCCCTGCTCTATAGTGTGCATTGCATTGTCTCCTTACTGATGATTTGTATGCAGAACGTTACATACGCCCCGGGTCCCTGTCCCGCCCCTGATGGAGCAAGACCGCATGAATACTACACTCTTCACACCCCTGACCCCACACACGCACTCGCAAAGATACACACACACACACACACACTCTGTACACATTCACTTTCTCACAGGCTTCCATCCCTCACCACATTACAGTAATGGGTGTCCATTAACTGGAAAACACTCTCACTGTATACCAGTGTCTGTGTTTCTCAGTACCCCCCCACCCCCGTCTCTCAGTGCCTTCTGGAGTCTGATTAAGTGTGGAGACGGTGGAACACACATCCTGTTCTCATCCGCTCCGGGGTGAACTCGGAATTCCAATCAGCTCCGACCGACCAGCTCGATGGGAGAGGGGCCCCGCTGTTGCCAAGGCCACCCATATGAGAGAGAGAGGACAGTGAAGGAAAGACCGAATAATATTATTGGAGAAAATGGCTTAATTTGAATAAAATTGTTTAAATTGAAGGAGAGGGCAAAAGAAAACAAGTTTCCATGGTAGTAAACATACACAGAAAAGTAACATTACAAACATAGTTTAGATATTAGCAACAAGACAGAGAACCCACTACTTTACTCAAAGATAGACATTGTGCCTCTGTCAATCAGTCCCTGAGAAAATGTGACCAGCATCACCAAACCTTAATCTACCTACACACCATCAGCAGATAGCGCTTACAATGGCAGGCACTTCCAGGCAGGCACTTGGGCATAGGGGTACCCATATGTGCAGGCTAAATTGCTGTTAAAAGTGTAGGCCAATGATAGAGCTAAGGCAGGTCTGTCAAAGACAATTATAGGCTTGTTATTTTTTTTTGACTTTTGACATTTCAGCCTTTACTGAAGTTCAGTTATAACAAGGTAGATCTGTCACTCAGGTTAGTATTTGGACTCATTACAACATTGACTACGGTGTGTGTGTGTGACTACGGGGCTGGTGAAGAGGCTATCTCTCTCAGGTTACTCAGAGAACGAGTCAGTACTAAAGAGACTGTAAGAAAGTAAGTCAGCCTTGTACGAGCCATAACGACACAAATTATTGTTGCATTCTAATAGATGTTGGTAGAGCATGGCGCTTGCAACGCCAGGGTTGTGGGTTCGTTTCCCACGGGGGGGCCAGTATGAAAATGTATGCACTCACTAATTGTAAGTCGCTCTGGATAAGAGCGTCTGCTAAATGACTAAAATGTTTTGAAAGAAATGCAGCCATAGATGTTGTGACCAAAACAGTCATCTTTCATAACATCCAAAATGGCTGTCAAAACAACAGGGTTCGGAAGGTCTTGAGTTGATGAGATACCTACTTATACTACAATGAGTGTTTTCATGGTTGTCGCCTACAGTCTACATAGCCACAAACATCCATATTGAACATGATTGGACAGTCAAACAGTAAAGCATACTCTGTACTGTACCTCAGTATGAAAAATGTATGCACTCTGAATAAGAGCGTCTGCTAAATGACTAAAATGTAAATGTAAATATAGATCAACATGCTCTTTTCTCCTTGCAATTATTTTATTTTTATTAGGTTACACCAACAAACAAAACAGCAGAACAATATAATGCAGCAATTTTCCCAACAGAGGCAATGCAAGATGAAATGAATGGGAGTAGCAAGCCGAGTGCAGAATTACTTTTATATCAAATTATACTGAACCTGGCCACAGTAATGGAAGACTTTATTCAGGCTTGTTCCTATTGTAATACCCTGTAGTGACATGCTACACAGTGAAGTATTCCATGACTGGTTTCTCTGTCTTTCTCTTTCTCTCTGTCTCTTTCTCTCAAAGTCCTTTATCAAAATATCAAGTGTTCAATCACACGTTTGTTGCTCTTATCTATCCATCTCTTAAAATGTTTTCCGAAAAGGTCTCCCTCGCTCTGTGTCCTCACTTCCTCCTCACATCAAATCTAGGTAGCACTTTATTTCGCACCACTATTCAAGGTAAATACCAGTTCAGTGTGTACTGTCAAAGAAAGTGCCACCCAAAGCTTAGATCCAGGCTGGTGCCACAGCTGTCAGTCACTTGTTAAACTGGGTCACACACTCAGTCCAAATTGAGGTCAATGGTGTTGTGTGTTTTCCAAAATGCTCCTGGTAAACATGGTGTAAAACATATTATAAGCTGTTGCAGTAGGATTACAGGAACTGTATGTGGCAAGGCCCCAAGAAACGTGAACCGGGAAGAAATGAAATACTTTGATCCTACCACGTTTTTCAAGTCCATCCATTTAAGTTTATTTGTGTTTTGGACCAGTTTTTCCTGCTTTTAAGCACATAGTTTTGACAGCCTTTCATGTTCTCACTTTAGGCAGAGAATTATGCTTTTTGATGGAATCCAACCTTCTGTTTCATGATGTTTCATATCTCACGTGTTCTTAATTTGTTTGTTGAAGGCAGTTTTTAAAAGGTCAGATCTTCCTGTTAAGGGTTTCAACCCATCAGTGTTGAAGGAATGGGGTAAATAACAATGGAAAGGAAATTATAAGATAAAGTGAATAACCTTTCCCTGCTCTCCCCCCGTCCCTCTTTCTCCTCCGCTCCCTTCTCAGAGGTGTCCCCGGTGCTGGCGGGCTTCCTGGGCGCCGGGGTCCTGGTGGTCTCAGTCACGGTGGCCGTCTTCCTCTGGACCTGCTGCCAGCGTCGCTACCGCCAGCTGACGGGCAGTTACAAGCTCCAATCGGGACCCTGCGACCCGGCCGTGGACCCGCCCTACAAGTTCATCCACATGCTCAAGGGAATCAGCATCTACCCGGAGACACTTAGTAACAAGAAGATCGTCCGCGTGGGTCGACGCCCGGGCTCCTCGCGTAATGGCGGCGGATCCGGCGTTGAGTGGGGTCGTAATGGTGAGCGAGGAAGAGGAGGGGGAGGAAGGGTGACGCTAGTGGACGTCAACCCAGAAACGGGCCTGCTCAACGGCTCCACCAATCTGCAGATGAGCCACCTACTGCCCCCTGCTGGACAGCCCAGGTTAGAGCAGGTGCTGCCCATCCGCGCCGACTACTGCTGCCTGGAGAGCAGCTCCAGGGGTAACAGCAGTAGCAGTAGCTGTGACGCCAGCAAGACAGCCTCGCCCTTTACCCCGTGCCAGGGGGAGGGCACCACAATGCCGCCCGCTGCCCTAGGCACCCTCAGCCTGGCCGTGGACTACAACTTCCCCAAGAAGGCGCTGGTGGTGACCATTGTTGGCGCCCAGGGTCTGCCCGCCGTGGACGAGCAGGCGGGTAGCTCGGACCCCTACGTGAAGATGACCATACTGCCAGAAAAGAAGCATCGGGTCAAGGTGAGTCTGGTTCCTCTGGAGGTTTCTTCCTACCTACATTTACATTTACATTTTAGTCATTTAGCAGACGCTCTTATCCAGAGCGACTTACAGTTAGCACATACATTATTTTATCGAACCCACAACCCTGGCGTTGCAAACGCCATGCTCTACCAACTGAGCTACATCCCCTGCCGGCCATTCCCTCCCCTACCCTGGACGACGCTGGGCCAATTGTGCGTCGCCCCATGGGTCTCCCGGTCGCAGCCGGCTACGACAGAGCCTGGATTCGAACCAGGATCTCTGGTGGCACGACGCTGGGCCAATTGTGCGTCGCCCCATGGGTCTCCCGGTCGCAGCCGGCTACGACAGAGCCTGGATTCGAACCAGGATCTCTGGTGGCATACCTACAGGGTTGATCCTTTCCACTGTTTTCTCTGATTTGCGTTGTTGAGGGTTTAGGTATTTGGGGTTGTGGTTGTGGTCCTAATTAGGCTAATACTGTTATTATTGAATTATTTGAATTATCATTATTACAGATTTTAGATAAAAAATAAGAAAACACAATTTTTTATTTATTGTGCAAACATGCGGCAAGAAAGGTTTGAAGACCCCTGCATTATCCCTGTTATTTGTTATTGTAAAATAGTTACTGTTAGTGTCACTGTAACTGTTTAAGTGTTACTGTAAGTGTAACTGTTTTAAGTGCTACTGTCACAATAACAACCAGACTGAAATATAACCGATTGCTCTGCAGACCCGCGTTCTGAGGAAGACTCTGGAGCCGGTGTTTGATGAGACGTTTACGTTCTACGGCGTGGCCTACAGCGCACTGCCCGACCTCACGCTGCACTTCCTGGTGCTAAGCTTTGACCGCTTTGCCCGTGACGATGTCATCGGGGAGGTGGCGGTGCCCCTGGCAGGAGTGGACCCCAGCACGGGACGAGTCCACATCACCCAACAGATCAGCAAGAGACACATCCAGGTGAGGGATGGGGATGAAGGGAAAGGAATGGATGGAGGGAGGGAGGAGAGGAGGCATTACCTTTTTTTCTTTTTTTTTTTTTTTCGGGGGGAATGGATCAGCTTAATATTGCAGATAGATTGTATCTTCTATCAATGTAATTGTCTGCATCACTTCCAATTTTTTAATTTTTTTTATATTTACATTTACATTTACGTCATTTAGCAGACGCTCTTATCCAGAGCGACTTACAGTTAGTGAATACATTATTTATTTTTTTATACTGGCCCCCCGTGGGAATCAAACCCACAACCCTGGCGTTGCAAACGCCATGCTCTATCAACTGAGCTACATCCCTGCCGGCCATTCCCTCCCCTACCCTGGACGACGCTGGGCCAATTGTGCGCCGCCCATGAGTCTCCCGGTCGCGGCTTATATATATATATTCCCCTTTATTACTTTTCAACCCCACCATCCTTTCCCTACTTGGAGTAAATTAGTGAACAACAACGCCCAGGCCTCTACTTCCGGTCTATACTTACTATCTACACCTTATGGACAGAGTTAATTTTACAATAATTCTATTAATATATATAGGAGGCATTACCTTGATTTATTACCTTTATTTAGGTTGGTTATTAAGAACACATACATTCTCTTTGATAATAATGACCTGACAAATAGACCCATCCTGGTTAGAGAAGGGGATGAGGAATGGAGGAGAGAGAGGAGAAACTGGATGATGGAGGAGGATTTGTATTTGTATAAAAAATAAATTTCAGAGGAAGAAAGGTGAGGGATGGGGGATAGATGATGAAATATACTCTAGAAAGAAGGACAGAGGAAGAGGGGGGGAAGGGAGGGAGAGAAGGGAAGGGGTGTGGTAAAAGAGAGCAATTCAGAGAGCGATGAGTAGACAGAATTTGAGGATAGAGGGAGGAGTTGGAAAGGTGAGGGGGGGGGGGGGGGGGGGGGGGGGGGGGGGAGAGAGAGGAGGTTAGGATGGATAGGTGGAGCAGTTACTGGGCTTTTATGACCAGCAACACTTGAGATGAAGGGGGAGGGATAAGGAGAACGACGTGAGAGAGAGAAAGAAAGAGGGAAAGATGGAGAGAAAGAGAGAAGAGACCGACAATAATCATTACTGGCTTCTAGCACAGGGTTGGCAGAAGGGTGATACATTTGCAAAATAAATGTCTACAGATTTAAATATGATGAAATGGTATAAATAATATAATAACCAATCCTGGCTTGTTTGCTTTTTGGCAAACAATCTTTCTTTCATTGAATCATTATCACACACGCATGCAAACACTCCACACACACACATACAGTGGGGAAAAAAAGTATTTAGTCAGCCACCAATTGTGCAAGTTCTCCCACTTAAAAAGATGAGAGAGGCCTGTAATTTTAATCATAGGTACACGTCAAATATGACAGACAAATTGAGGAAAAAAAATCCAGAAAATCACATTGTAGGATTTTTAATGAATTTATTTGCAAATTAGGGTGGAAAATAAGTATTTGGTCACCTACAAACAAGCAAGATTTCTGGCTCTCACAGACCTGTAACTTCTTCTTTAAGAGGCTCCTCTGTCCTCCACTCGTTACCTGTATTAATGGCACCTGTTTGAACTTGTTATCAGTATAAAAGACACCTGTCCACAACCTCAAACAGTCACACTCCAAACTCCACTATGGCCAAGACCAAATAGCTGTCAAAGGACACCAGAAACAAAAGTGTAGACCTGCACCAGGCTGGGAAGACTGAATCTGCAATAGGTAAGCAGCTTGGTTTGAAGAAATCAACTGTGGGAGCAATTATTAGGAAATGGAAGACAAACAAGACCACTGATAATCTCCCTCGATCTGGGGCTCCACGCAAGATCTCACCCTGTGGGGTCAAAATGATCACAAGAACGGTGAGCAAAAATCCCAGAACCACACGGGGGGACCTAGTGAATGACCTGCAGAGAGCTGGGACCAAAGTAACAAAGCCTACCATCAGTAACACACTACGCCGCCAGGGGCTCAAATCCTGCAGTGCCAGACGTGTCCCCCTGCTTAAGCCAGTACATGTCCAGGCCCGTCTGAAGTTTGCTAGAGTGCATTTGGATGATCCAGAAGAGGATTGGGAGAATGTCATATGGTCAGATGAAACCAAAATAGAACTTTTTGGTAAAAACTCAAATCGTCGTGTTTGGAGGACAAAGAATGCTGAGTTGCATCCAAAGAACACCATACCTACTGTGAAGCATGGGGGTGGAAACATCAAGCTTTGGGGCTTTTTTTCTGCAAAGGGACCAGGACGACTGATCCGTGTAAAGGAAAGAATGAATGGGGCCATGTATCGTGAGATTTTGAGTGAAAACCTCCTTCCATCAGCAAGGGCATTGAAGATGAAACGTGGCTGGGTCTTTCAGCATGACAATGATCCCAAACACAACCGCCCGGGCAACGAAGGAGTGGCTTCGTAAGAAGCATTTCAAGGTCCTGGAGTGGCCTAGCCAGTCTCCAGATCTCAACCCCATAGAAAATCTTTGGAGGGAGTTGAAAGTCTGTGTTGCCCAGCGACAGCCCCAAAACATCACTGCTCTAGAGGAGATCTGCATGGAGGAATGGGCCAAAATACCAGCAACAGTGTGTGAAAACCTTGTGAAGACTTACAGAAAACGTTTGACCTGTGTCATTGCCAACAAAGGGTATATAACAAAGTATTGAGAAACTTTTGTTATTGACCAAATACTTATTTTCCACCATAATTCGCAAATAAATTCATAAAAAATCCTACAATGTGATTTTCTGGATTTTTTTTCCTCATTTTGTCTGTCATAGTTGACGTGTACCTATGATGAAAATTACAGGCCTCTCTCATCTTTTTAAGTGGGAGAACTTGCACAATTGGTGGCTGACTAAATACTTTTTTTCCCCACTGTACATGCAGCTGAAACGTATCTGTGAGGCTGGTCTGTGTGTGTGTGTCTGTATTGATTGGAGACCCATTAGGCCCATAAAAGTGGAGAGAGCCTGGCGTTATCTCTGCCTGTAGGAAGACATCCATCAGAGCACGGAAACAAAAGCCTTTTCCCCACATCATTACACATCATCCATATACGGCAGGGAGAGGAGAGGAGAGGGGGGGGGGGAAGAGAGAGAGAGAGAGAGAGCGCCTAGACTAATAGTCTAGAGCTGAGATAGAGATACGAGATCGCTAGTCATGCATATACCTCCTAGCGCCTCGATATCTCTCTACTCTCCTTAGCCTATCTCTATACAGAGAGCTCTCTCGCTCTAGATACTCTCTCGCTGCTCTCTCTCTCTGCTCTCGTCTCCGCCTCTTGCTCTCTCGCTCTCTTGCTCTCTCTCGCGCTCCTCTCCGCCTCTTCTCTCCTCTCTCTCTCTTCCTTCTCTCTCTCTCTCTCTCTCTCTCTCTCTCCTCTCTCTCCTCTCTCTCGCTCGCTCCGCTCGGCGCGCGCCTCCGCGCGCGGTCTCTAGAGAGCTCTCGAGGCTATCGATATAGACTCTAGATGAGAGGAACTCCGCCCAACACTATCTGCACTGAGAAAAAGATAACCAAGATAGAGAAACCTGCACTGAATGCAAAATCTGCACTGATTACACCATATGGCTTTTAGGACAGACTGTAAATAACCCACACACCATTAGGCCCCCACAGAGACATTAAAACATAATGATATAATCTCTAGAGCTCATGCAGTACGCACAGCTACTCTTCGAAGACAGCAGACATACACACATGCACGCACACGGTCATGCACACACACGTGTAAACACATTACAGGTATAAGTATCATTCCCAGTGCCACTGTAAGCCTGTCAAGCGAGACAGTACAGAAATGTATACACACAATCATAATTTCTTCCTCCATGTACACATACACTCACTCCAACATTCTAAATTTCACCTCCATGCAGTCACACTATTTCGCACCCCTCTCCCTCATGTGGAGATGTATAAGTACATACTTCCACCATCTCCTCTCCCTCTATTTCTCTTCTTTCCCTGTCTCATCTTCCTTTCTCTTCCTCTCTGTTATCTCTCTCTACCCCCTCTCTCCCCCTCTTCCTCTCCTTCCATCTCTCTCTCATCTCTTTACACCGTTGTTCAGAAGAGGGCCTTAAATTGAATTCCCTCCTATTTTACTGCAACCTTAAGGGGTTTAGAGACAGGATGGAATCGATCTTCCAGTAGAGAGAGAACTTACTTAAATAGGAGAGGGAGAGAGATTAGTTTGTGGAAATGAAAAAGAGGAGACATGGGTATCTGCTGATGGAGAGAAAGAGAGCAATGGCAATGAAAAAAGAAAGAGAGAGAGAGATGGATGAGAGAGAGAATAGTGTTTTTGGACGGAGAGAAAGCAAGACGGAACTGTGGGGGAAAAAAAGGATTGTGGCCGGACCATACGTCCAGAGGAGACGTCCATGAAACTTTTAACTGGGGGGAACTTAAGTGGAGGGGGAAGTTTAAATTATTGAAGTGGGGGACAGTAAAGACGTCACACTCATTACGACAGCAGTAGCTCACACACTTAGCGGTGGTTCATAAAAGCTATTATCCGTTTAGAACATAAAAAGGTATCTTTTGAGCATGGCCATTGTGATTCTCCACCATTCTACAGTAGCGCTTAAACGCTTCAAAACTCCCATTCAGCACAAGCCGTCCAAAATGTCACATTGGTTTATATGGCGGCATTAGCTCCTAGCGCTGTTATGACTGTGCCTTGCAGCAAGAACCATTTACTTGTACTTTAGATTAAAATGTCAGGGAACTAAGCAATGCCAAACATGGTGGGTCATTTCTGCATTTCGCACTGCAGTGAGTCTATGGCATGTTAATTTATATACTCAAACGGTGCTTTTAAGTATGAAATGCACCATTTACTACATAAGTACTTTAGAATATAGTCAAAAATATTAAAATGGTAGGGAACTGAGCTATTGTACACTACAAATGGTTGTGTACAGACTGCAGTGGTTTCAGACTATTTGTGTTTTTCGTAGAGCAGAGCTCCCCTGCCCCTAGTAGTCCTGCTCACTAATGAAAAAGCTACTGATACACTGTAGTAGAGACAATTAGGAGGCTATCTATTTACGCCATACTTTGCATGCAGATCCCAGAGCAGATGGTAGCAGATTTACGCGCACACGTCCGCACACACATTACACAGACACACATCTCGGCCTGGGTAATTCTCTATTTCTCCGATCTAAGTTCAAGCTCAGCCTTGGGCCGCCTCCCACAGCGCGTTGCCATGGTGACACCTAGACGTAGTATAGGAATTCACGCTCTGAGAAAGAGTGAGAGACATGAAAGCAGTGAAAAAGAGAGTGGGACCAAGAGAAAAACTAAGAGAGAGATGAACAGAAAGATGGGGATAGCCGCAGGTCTACAGATATTAGTTTTACTGTCATTATGTATGGTGTATGAATTGTGTGCATACTGGAAGTGTAGGTGGATGGGTGGGTTATGGAGGTTTGTCTGCCATATTTTTGTGCAAGTCAGGTTTTGTGTGTATGAGGGTACTTTGTGTGTGTAATGTACAGTGCCTTCAGAAAGTATTCACACCCCTTGACTTTTTCCACATTTTGTGTTCCAGTCTGAATTTAATATGGATTAAATTGAGATTTTGTGTCACTGATCTACACACAATACCCCATAATGTCAAAGTGGAGTTGTGTTTTTAGAAATGTTTACAAATTAATAAAAAATGTAATGTCCTGATTCAATAAGTATTCAACCCTTTTTTTTTATGGCAAATCTAAATAAGTTCAGAAGTACAAATGTGCTTAACAAGTCACATAATACGTTGCATGGACTCACTCTGTGTGCAATAATGGTGTTCAACATCATTTTTAAATGACTCACCCGTCTCTGTACCCCACACATACAATTATCTGTAAGGTCAGTTACAGAGTTTAATGGCTGTGATAGGAGAAAACTGAGGATGGATCAACAACATTGTAGTTACTCCACAATACTAACCTAAATGACAGAGGGAAAAGAAGGAAGCCTCTACAGAATAAAAATATTCAAAAAAATGCATCCTGTTTGCAATAAGGCACTAAAGTAATACAGCAAAAAATGTGGCAAAGAAATTAACTTTTTGTCCAGTCTACATATTTTCAAGCATGTTGGTGGCTGCATCATTTTATGGGTATGCTTGTCATCGGCAAGGACTAGGGAGTTTTTTTTGGGGTAAAAATAAATGGAATAGAGCTAAGCTCAGGCAAAATCCTAAAGGAAAACTTGGTTCAGTCTCCTTTCCGACAGACACTGGGAGACAAAATCACCTTTCAGCAGGACAATTACCTAAAACACAAGGCCAAATATACACTGGAGTTGTTTACCAAGACGACGTTGAATGTTCCAGAATGATCTTAAGTTTTGACTTAAATTGGCTTAAATCTATGGCAAGACTTGAAAATGGCTGTCTAGCTGTCTAGCAACTTATTTAGATTTGCCATAAAAAAAGGGTTGAATACTTATTGAATCAGGACATTTCATTTTTTATTAAATTGTAAACATTTACAAATTACTCCATCAACGTGACAGAGCTTGAAGATTTTTTTTTAAGAATGGGCAAATATTGTACAATCCAGGTGTGGAAAGCTCTTAGAGACTTACCCAGAAAGGCACGCAGCTGTAATCGCTGCCAAAGGTGATTCTAACATGTATTGAGTCAGGGGGTTGAATGCTTATCTAATCGATGAATTCGTGTTTTATTTTCCATTTATGTGTCTTTTTTTTTTTTGAATTTCTCTTCCACTTTGACATTGGAGTATTTTGTGTAGATAGTTCAGGAAAAAATGACAGTTAAATCCATTTTAATCCCACTTTGTAACACAACAAAATGCGGAAAAGGTCAAGGGGTGTGAAAACTTTCTGATGGCACTGTATGTGTGTGTTCTAACTGTGTTCTCCCCGCTGTGTGTGTGCGTGTGCATCTACATTCTAACCCTGTGCTCTCTCTGCAGTGCGTGTGCATCTACATTCTAACCCTGTGCTCTCTCTGCAGTGCGTGTGCATCTACATTCTAACCCTGTGCTCTCTCTGCAGTGCGTGTGCATCTACATTCTAACCCTGTGCTCTCTCTGCAGTGTGTGAGCATCTACATTCTAACCCTGTGCTCTCTCTGCAGTGTGTGTGCATCTACATTCTAACCCTGTGCTCTCTCTGCAGTGTGTGTGTGGATCTACATTCTAACCCTGTGCTCTCTCTGCAGTGCGTGTGCATCTACATTCTAACCCTGTGCTCTCTCTGCAGTGCGTGTGCATCTACATTCTAACCCTGTGCTCTCTCTGCAGTGTGTGTGCATCTACATTCTAACCCTGTGCTCTCTCTGCAGTGTGTGTGCATCTACATTCTAACCCTGTGCTCTCTCTGCAGTGTGTGAGCATCTACATTCTAACCCTGTGCTCTCTCTGCAGTGTGTGTGCATCTACATTCTAACCCTGTGCTCTCTCTGCAGTGTGTGTGCATCTACATTCTAACCCTGTGCTCTCTCTGCAGTGTGTGTGCATCTACATTCTAACCCTGTGCTCTCTCTGCAGTGTGTGTGCATCTACATTCTAACCCTGTGCTCTCTCTGCAGTGTGTGTGCATCTACATTCTAACCCTGTGCTCTCTCTGCAGTGTGTGTGCATCTACATTCTAACCCTGTGCTCTCTCTGCAGTGTGTGTGTGGATCTACATTCTAACCCTGTGCTCTCTCTGCAGTGTGTGTGCATCTACATTCTAACCCTGTGCTCTCTCTGCAGTGTGTGTGGATCTACATTCTAACCCTGTGCTCTCTCTGCAGTGTGTGTGCATCTACATTCTAACCCTGTGCTCTCTCTGCAGTGTGTGTGCATCTACATTCTAACCCTGTGCTCTCTCTGCAGTGTGTGTGCATCTACATTCTAACCCTGTGCTCTCTCTGCAGTGTGTGTGCATCTACATTCTAACCCTGTGCTCTCTCTGCAGTGTGTGAGCATCTACATTCTAACCCTGTGCTCTCTCTGCAGTGTGTGAGCCGTGGGGAGCTGCTGGTGTCGCTGTCCTACCAGCCTGTCACTCACAGGCTCAATGTGGTGGTGCTGAAGGCCAAACACCTGCCCAAGATGGACATCACTGGCCTATCAGGCAGTGAGTACTACACAAACGCACGCACACACAAACACACACACACACACACACACACACATCTCACCCCCTTTCCCCTCTATCCATCCCTCACAGACCCCTACGTGAAGGTGAACGTGTTCTACGGCCGCAAGCGCATCGCCAAGAAGAAGACTCACGTGAAGAAGTGCACGCTCAACCCCGTTTTTAACGAGTCATTCATCTACGACGTGCCCGCCGAGCTGCTGGCCGACGTCTCTGTGGAGTTCCTGGTGGTCGACTTTGACCGTACCACCAAGAACGAGGTGGTGGGCCGCCTGGTGTTGGGTGGCCAGAGCCTCATGCACACTGGGGTCACCCACTGGAGAGAGGTCTGCGACAACCCCCGCCGGCAGATTGCCAAGTGGCACAACCTGGGCGAGTATTAGGACCGCTCAGAAAAATATCCCAAAATGTTCCGGATGTTTGCAATTTTCTTGGAATGGATATTCTGTCGAAAAACCACCACCACCACTACTATTTCAATCCTATTCTCTTAGAAATAAAACCCTTCCCGCCTGAAATAAAGAGACACAACCAGACCACCGTAACCCCATCCAGCATGGACACTCGCTTCTATGAAAAATTCCCGCAACCATTGAGACGACCACCGGGGCCGAGAAAAATCTGACCAGACTTTCAGGAATCACTGACGACAAAAGACTTGATTGAGGATTTAAAAATCAAAATCGGAATATATATCTATATATACATATAAAAATTTATACACAAATATATAGCCTACACAATCAATACTGTTAGCGAGATCCATGTGGTCCTACCGGTTGGTGGGTGTGTAAAGGGGCTGTGGTTCATCCAATCAGAGTTCACAACAGAGAGTGCATCACAACCCCTCCCTCCTTCTCCAGCCCCTGCCACCCATAGGTATAAACATTCCTTTACTTGCATGCTTGAACAAGTTACAAATAAAACACACCTGGGAAGGAAGGTGGCCACAGAATACAGTAGGTCATATTTTCTCTTAACGTAGTGTACCAATTCCCTTTAAATCAGGAAGTATCCCCTGGGACTGCACAAAATTGGGAGGGTTTATGTTAATTAAAGGGTGTGGTTAATTTATATTGCGATGGGGCTGTTTTTTAAAGTAGGGAAATGCTTCTTTTAACAGGAGTGGTAATATTAGAGGCGTGGTTAATTTATGGGGCAGGATGGGATACTATATTACAATATTTACCAGGGATAATAAAGTTGTTGCAAAGTGTTTAAGTTATGGGCAGGTAAGGCTATGGGAAGGACTTGATGATATTTGAAAATGTATGCACTCACTAACTGTAAGTCGCTCTGGATAAGAGCGTCTGCTAAATGACTAAAATGTAAAATGTAATATTTATCACCACTTTTATGTTTCTTTCTATGTGGACCAAATATGTTTAATCAGTAAGCTCACATGCAGCAACAATATCCATGAAACTCAATAGTCAAACTGCATTTGTCAGAGATTTTTCATGCACAGTGTAAAATTGGCTTGAGTTCAAGCCAGCTCTCGTAGAGACAAAGGACAAAATGGAGACATTCATTTTGTGGGGCAGATTCATACCAACACTGGCATAACAATTGGACATTATCCACTTGCAGTTCACGTACATGTTGGAAAACCAGTGTTCAGTATGTTACAATGTGTCTATGATAAGTGCATTGTGGAGCTAATCAAAACAGTTCAATCTAAATTGAGGGGATGGAATAAAACTCTGCCATCTCAGTGATATCCCTTCACTGAACCCTCCCTCAGTAGCAAACAAGGTTAGTGGATTGGGTCTGCCCCATTACAGTAAATGGATGATTTCTGGTTTTATTTTGTGACTGCTCCCTATCATTTTATTGGTGCATTTGTTTTTAGACCTGATGTGATGAGGTGAGGCTGTAGCTATGTAGCATGGGTAGCTATAATTCACTGGACCTTAATGTACCAAAACCCATTGTTTATAGTACATCTGTTGTCATAGTGACCACATGAGCAAAGGTCAATGAGTGTATCTATAACTTTGTGTCTGAATCACCAATTTTACCAGTTTAACCAATTTTACCAGAGAGAGCTTCGTAGTTTATATGCTGTTCCACAGTGGCCATTTGACCCAGTATACACTTGCCTGGCAGTGCTTTACTCCTGTTTAATTTATTTGAATAAATAATTTAGTAGAATTTATAGCCATGTTACTGGTAACAGCTCAGTATATCCTCGTTTGAACTCTGCATCTTAAGAATTGTACATTCATTTTTTTCAATATATTTTGTGTGGGGTGAGTATGTGAGAATTTCAAATGTTCATCTCCTGCAATGTCACATCCACTGAACTCATCAAAGGTGTCTATGTCGTCAGCTCTCGTTCTGGTTCCCTCTTCTCCCCAAGCTCTCGCTCTCTCTGTTTATCACCGCTGTTGCTCCACGGCGCGCTCCCTATTCTGTCAGAGGCAAAAAAAATGTTTTTACTCTGATAGTCAATAGTGATCAAAGGAAGTCAAGCTGTCACCGCACACTATGTCTCTTTGCTGTGTGTGTGTACACTGTATCTCACTGAATGTCCTAACCTCTTAGCTTGAATGCTGCATGTCCCTACACTCCCACACAGGTAAACAATGTACACAATCCACTTCACCGGCCTCTGAGTTGCTCAAACTGCATCCCTACAAACTGGCTGCAATGCGAGTTTGAGCTAACTTGAGCTAGCAAACAAATCAACATAAATGTTTATAACATTATTTGTGTGGCGTAGTCACTCAGCAAGCTTATTTTCCTAATGTTTGGCATATCACAGTTTTATGTACTGTAGATACCATCGATAGCAGTAATGGCACTGTAAGTGGTTAAGTGGGCAGTTGTGTCCTTTCCTATAAAAGTAATCACATCCCACAAGGAACTGAGTGTAGGCAGGACTCACATTTAGGCTGCACACTGAACATTTTGGATATCTGATCGCACTTTGAAAAGCCCAAAGCAACCTTTTAGTTTTTATCACTTGTTGATTTGATCAAACCTTTTTTTGCTACGGAACTAGATTTTTTTTGCTCTCTGATACTTTTTGAAAATACAAAAATATATTTGTACATATTGTAACATAGGAGGCTAATATCTTGTTTTTGCTAACAAATTGGCATATTAATTTGTGTCTTAGTTTTCCCCTTCAGCCCCCCCACATACATTTATTTAGGTAAAAAGGTAGACTTTGCCTATTCAGTTCTTGACATCCTGCGCATGTCCTTAGTCCTATAGTATTCCCTCTCACAGCCATGAGAAATTCGTAAACTGAACAAAAATATAAATGCAACATTTTACTGAGTTACAGTTCATATTACATTTACATTTCAGTCATTTAGCAGACGCTCTTATCCAGAGCAACTTACAGTTAGTGAATGCATACATTTGTATTTATTTTTTCATACTGTCCCCCCGTGGGAAAAGAACCCACATCCCTGCCGGCCAAACCCTCCCCTACCTTGGACGACGCTGGACCAATTGTGCGCCGCCCATGGGTCTCCTGGTTGCGGCCGGCTGCGATAGAGCCTGGACTCGAACCAGGATCTCTAGTGGCACTGCGCCACTTGGGAGTCATATAAGGAAATCAGTCAATTGAAATAAATTCATTAGGCCCTAATCTATGGATTTCAAATGACTGGGAATACAGATATGCATCTGTTGGTCACAGATACCTTAAAAAAAAAATGGGCCTCACAATGGGCCTCAGGATCTCATCATGGTATTTCTCTGCATTTAAAATGCAATTGTGTTCGTTGTAGGTAGTTTATGCTTGCCCATACCATAACCCCATCGCCACCATGGGGCACTCTGTTCACAACGTTGACATCAGCAAACCGCTCGCCCACACGACGCCATACATGTGGTCTGCGATTGGGAGGCCAATTGGACATACTGCCAAATTCTCAAAAATGACATTGGAGACGGCTTATGGTAGAGAAATTAACATTCAATTTTCTGGCAACAGCTCTGGTGGACATTCCTGCGATCAGCATGCCAATTGCATGCTCCCTCAAAACTTGAGACATCTGTGGCATTATGTTGTGTGACAAAACTGCACATTTTAGTGGCCTTTTATTGTCCCCAGCACAAGATGCACCTGTGAAATGATCATGCTGTTTAATTATCTTCTTGATATGCCACACCTGTCAGGTGGATGGATTATCTTGGCAAAGGTGAAATACCTACTAACAGGGATGTAAACAAATGTGTGCACAAAATGAGAAAAATAAGCTTTTTGTGAGTATGGAACGTTTCGGGGATCTTTTATTTTAGCTCATGAAACATTGGCCCAACACTTTACATGTTGCGTTTACATTTTTGTTCAGTGTAGATGCATGCACAGTATCTTCAGTTTCCATCAAAAACTATATATCAAGGCAACTTGTTGAAACAAAATGACATTTTCATTAAGAAGCACTGTGTCTTGGAACCCATTTCAGTCTTTTGGTTTCGTAATGTTTGGCTGATAAGAATCACAACAGCGGCACAGGTTTTGTTGAAATAGAGATGATTTTCCAACTGTAGGCTTTCCAATTCAGAGGAAGGTCCTGTGACTATCCTTTTGTCTTTGTAGGAGGTTTTCCAGTCTGGGGCATAATTTAATTATGTGGCTATGAGAGCCGTTGGAGTGAGGTAAAATTGCATTAGCCCTAACACTGTATCCCCAACCTAGTCTTGGCTTGGGCACAGAGGTGCTGGGCAGTAGCCTGGATGTGTGTGTGTGTGTGTGTGTGTGTGTGTGTGTGTGTGTTTGCATTTACCATATGGGGCCCTGAAGGCAGGCTGCCATGCCCCCATTTCTAGTGTGACCACAGACATAAGCACATCAGTCTCACCACTGAAAGGCCAATGGGTTGTAGTCCACCGATTGACCATCTTTGCCCAGGAGGTGCTAACATGGTTGCTGAGGAATAGTGTAATGTAATCTTTATTCATTGCTCTGGCATTGCTGGAGAGTTAAACAATGTAGCTAATGTGGAGTGTTCAGGCTCCTAACTGTAACTGCACTAATAGGGGTTGCGTTCAATATTCTAAATGTGTTAAAAAGTGGAGCATATTTGAAAGGTGAAAGGAGAATGATGACAGTATCTTAGCATTGTGGGCCTAATTCTGTAGAAAAAGATGTCTGTCAATGCGTCGGTTGGTTGGTAAGGACACCAGTGTTTTTTTGCCTCATGTCTGTGCATGACTGATAATTACTGCGAGAGGTGAGATGTGTTTGGCTAACAACATTGTGAGTTCTGTTCATGACAGGAAGGTTTAGTCAAAATCAAATCAAGATGTATCATAATTGCTAGTTAACTTATTTAAGAAAACAAACCATGTACATTCTCCCATTTCTGTATGCTTTGATAGATTGTTTCGTTTTCTATTTCTATGTTCTCTGTTTATTTTCGGACTTTAGTTTGAGACGGGTTGTGTATATTACAGGTGCCTGTAATCAATATTCAACTGTTTCCTCTTCCTGTGAGCGTTTCCCTTTGTAAATAGCACAGAAAGCACCCTGCAAAGATCAGCAACGATGTCCCATATTACTGAATAATCTAAACCAAAATGATATGCTCTGTCTTTGTTACCCTCTGTTTTGCTGGCCTCCCCCTGAACCCATAGCATAAATAAGCCTATTTTATAGATATTTAAATACCGTATAACCTTGTGTAAATTACTGTTTGTTCCCAAGCACTATCAGGCAGATACATTGCCGCCTGTCCTTATTGTATGTGATTGTTCCCCCTGGAATGGCAAAGGGCTCTCCCCTCACTGTAAATGTGTTCAATTGTTGGGGTGCCCTCCCTCTTCCTATCCCTTGGCCCACACCGAATCCCTCTCTCCAGTCCACACTCCTTTTTCTCCCTTCAGCCCCTCCTTTTCCTCCCATGACAACCCATCCCTCTCTTTCGCTGTCGTGTGTTGTACATACAAATCTGAGGTGTGAATAAATCTGAGGGGAGGCAGGTAGCCTAGCGGTTAAGAGCGTTGGGCCAGTAACCGAAAGGTGGCTGGTTCGAATCCCCAAAACGACTAGGTGAAAGATCTGTTGCTGTGCCCTTGAGCAAAGCAATTAACCTTAATTACTCCTGTAAGTTGCTCTGGATAAGGGCATCTGCTAAATGACTCAAATGTAAATAAAAAGAGAACAAGGAATTGGTTGTGAGTATCCCATTGGCTATAATTGATTCACCGCCTTAGTCATAATTGAAGGTCAGAACTATGTTTTGTGTGGGTGAAATGCAAAATAAGTTAAGTACTCTGAACTGTGTTTAAACTGCATAATGCTATTAAGTCTATGCTTAATATATTACACTAATGCTGACTTGTTGAATTTGTTAACACAACGAACGTGCAAATAAAAAAATAACTGATAAACTATTTTTGAGTCCTTTTGCTAAGTCACCTGGGCATACACACGACTAGCTCACTGATGTCTCTCTGTAAATGCATATTTTTCTCACAGACACAAACTCACGTCTGTGAACACACACACAATTGTATTTTCTCCCAATACACTACAGATGACAGGATTTACAGCATGAGAATATCTAGTAGCCTATAATTGTCTGTTCTAGCTGATTAAGATCAAACAATGCACAGGGAGCACACAGCAAATAGGGACATACAGGTAACTGCCAAAATAAAGGAAACTCTTAGTAGGGCGTTGGGCCACCACGAGCCAGAACAGCTTCAATGCACCTTGGCATAGATTCTACATTTGTCTGGAACTCTATTGGAGGGATTCAACACCATTCTTCCACGCCAAATTCCATAATTTTGTGTTTTGTTGATGGTAGTAGAAAACGCAGTCTCAGGCGCCAAGTGTTCAATTGGGATGAGATCTGGTGACAACATCAAACCATTCAGTGACCACAATAATGGCCTGCCCAGCATTTTTATTCATGACCCTAAATTCATTTTTTTATTAACTCAGGAACCACACCTGTGTGGAAGCACCTGCTTTCAATATACTTTGTATCCTTCATTTACTCAAGTGTCTCCATTATGTACATGCCTAGTATACAGTGCATTCGGAAAGTATTCAAACCCCTTGACTTTTTCCACATTTTGTTACGTTACAGCCTTATTCTAAAATTCCCCCCCTCATCAATCTACACACAATACCCCATAATGACAAAGCAAAAACTGGTTTTTACACATTTTTGCAAATGTATTAAAAAGAAAGAAAATATCACATTTACATAAGTATTCAGACCCTTTACTCAGTACTTTGTTGAAGCACCTTTGGCAGCGATTACAGCCTCGAGTCTTCTTGGGTATGACACTACAGGCTTGGCACACCTGTATTTGGGGAGTTTCTCCCATTCTTCTCTGTAGATCCTCTCAAGCTCTGTCCGGTTGGATGGGGAGCGTCGCTGCACAGCTATTTTCAGGTCTCTCCAGAGATGTTCGATTGTGTTGTAGTCCGGGCTCTGGCTGGGCCACTGAAGGACATTCAGAGACTTGTCCCGAAGCCACTCCTGCGTTGTCCTGTTGGAAGGTGAACCTTCGCCCCAGTCTAAGGTACTGAGAGCTCTGGAGCGGGTTTTCATAAAGGATCTCTCTGTACTTTTCTCCATTCATCTTTCCCTCGATCCTGACTAGTCTCCCAGTCCCTGCCGCTGAAAAACATCCCCACAGCATCACCGTAGGGATGGTGCCAGGTTTCCTCCAGACGTGACGCTTGGCATTCAGGCCAAAGAGTTCAATCTTGGTTTCATCAGACCAGAGAATCTTGTTTCTCATGGTCTGAGAGTCCTTTAGGTGCTTTTTTGGCAAACTCCAAGCGGGCTGTCATGTGCCTTTTACTGAGGAGTGGCTTCCGTCTGGCCACTCTACATTAAAGGCCTGATTGGTGGAGTGCTGCAGAGATGGTTGTCCTTCTGGAAGGTTCTCCCATCTCCACAGAGGAACTCTGGAGCTTTGTCAGAGTGACCATCGGGTTCTTGGTCACCTCCCTGACCAAGGCCCTTCTCCCCAGATTGCTCAGTTTGGCCGGGCGGCCAGCTCTAGGAAGAGTCTTGGTGGTTCCAAACTTCTTCCATTTAAGAATGATGGAGGCCACTGTGTTCTTGGGGACCTTCAATGCTGCAGACATTTTTTGGTACCCTTCCCCAGATCTGTGCCTCGACACAAACCTGTCTCGGAGCTCTAAGGATAATTTCTTCGACCTCATGGCTTGGTTTTTGCTCTGACATGCACTGTCAACTGTGGGACCTTATATAGACAGGTGTGTGCCTTTCCAAATCATGTCCAATCAATTGAATTTACCACAGGTGGACTCCAATCAAGTTGAAGAAACATCTCAAGGATGATCAATGGAAACAGGATTCACCTGAGTCTCATAGCAAAGGGTCTGAATACTTACGTAAATAAGGTATTTCCGTTTTTTATTTGTAATACATTTGTTTAATAAAAAAACAGTTTTTGCTTTGTCATTATGGGGTATTGTGTGTAGATTGATGAGGAAATAAATGTATCTAATCAATTTTAGAATAAGGCTGTAACATAACAAAATGTGGAAAAAGTCAACAGGTCTGAATACTTTCCGAATGCACTTTAAACAACCACCTACCCATGGCAGGTAGCCTAGATGTTAGAGAGAAAGTTGCTGGTTCAAGACCCAGGCCGGAGATTACAAAAACGGAAACAGAACTTGCACCTGGAGGGCTGCTGCTATCTGATCCCAGGTCCTAACCACTGCTGTTGTGCCCTAGTACAAGACAGTTAACCCCAAATTGACCCCCCCCCCCCCCCCCCCCCCCCCCATCCAGGGATGCTGCACTGTGACTGACCATGTGCCTCTCAACAACAATATAGTACTATCTTTATTATATTTTATTATATAATATTATGAGAAACCTTAAAATATATGAAATTGCGTCTTAGTGGGCCTATTCACTGGTTACCAGTGTGTAATAGTGCCTCACTGAACTTCAAAGGCACTTTTCCAAGGCGGTCCAACTCTACAGAAAAGTTAGTCACTGAGCCGACGGGCGTTGGGACCCTGTGACGTAGCGTTTACAGACCGCTCGCGCTGTTTACAGTTTGAGAATTTTGTTGCATGAATTATCAAACATCAAGCACTAAATGGCCATAGAAGTAATTTCGGCAATTATGAGGAAAGAACTTATGTGACAGGTGAGTCGCACATCTCTATTCATTCATGCATGCATAAAGTCAGTTGGCTATTTATGTTTGCAGTTGTTCAATCATTTGCTTTCTTCGTAGTCAACAATATTCATATTAACTCGTTCCTTTGTAATTACATGAAATAATATTTTCAATGTCTGATTGAACACTGATCTGCAAACAGTTAGGCTAACAAATCCATGCAGCTTGTTTTACATTCAGCAATGATCGGCTCGTAGGCTACACTTGATTGTAGAAGGATTTTACATTTGAAGTTTACAAAAATGAGGCTACTTTGTTTTCCCTAATCCCATGTCACCTACAGCCACACAATTCATTTCGCTACTTCAGCAGTCTTTTGAATGTTCACTATTGCCCTCTATAATTGTTTTGTTGTTTATCCTGTTAAGTCTAGTTATCCTGTTTCAAAGTAGCCAATACAGTATATCAAATGGTTGTTCTATTTCAGTGAATGTTTGCAACGGATGCAGTTTTCACTGCGACTTTGTCAGATATCCAATTATTTGAAACAATGTTAATCTTATTTCTTGTTTAGCAAATATCTGTAATATTTTCGGCAGCTGAAACATTGTAGCCGACTCACTGTTTGTAACATTGTAGGCTATAACAATGTGACAATAGTGCAACAAACTTTTACTTTTTAGGTAGCCTTTAAATATGAAATACCCTAACTTTGGACGTTGAATAAGGCTAGTACAGAGACTATATATAATCTGCATTTCAATAACAAACTTCGAGGCCTGAGCCATCTGAAGCCTGGAGACTCCCTTGAATCACGGAGCCCGTGTAGTGATGTTGTCAGGGCGAGGGAGGAAACAACAACTCGACAATATACTACGATAACATCCACTAATTTGTGTTTTTGGATCTAACGTTACCACATGTTAGGCAATGGTGCACGGACATGTGCTCAGTCAGGCGTTATTGAAGTGCAGACCTCATATTTTACATAAAACCGAGTCAAAAAACGTAGCTGCTCTCAAGCGGATATGAACATTTATTTTTAACCTCCCAAATTATGTCTGTTCTATCTGCCTCTGTCCTGACAACAATGAACCGGCTTTGTAAAATGTTTTGTCTCCGCGTTCCATCATTGAGGTAATGTGAACCCTTCATAGGTCTACGATTATTAGCTTAGGCCCTAATGATAAGTAAATGTGTGCTTATGTAGGCCTATTTATCAATGATAAATATATCATTAATTTATATAATTTATTCTGACAATGAAATTAAAGTTTAATATAGTACAAATGTTATTTAAATCATGTTATTTTGGGTTAGAGAAAGGGAAAGCTAGGCGATATCGCTATGGAAAATCGCAATAATAGTTGTGATGACATTGCCTGGGGTTGTGGTGGTCAATGTCACACATTTGCCTTCCACCGAGAAATCACATGATTGCCCCATCAAGTCGATACGAGTCGGTTCCTCTTTCCGCATGAGTGCTGCTGGCTGCTGCATAGACCAATTTAATAAACTGCTCATGTGACTCTCATAAATCAATCTACACACTACAAATGGGTCGGAGGCATGACAATAGTGGCCTATTCAGATGAGATTAATAGTTATTTCTAAGGGTGGCAAAGTAGACTAGAGTTGGCTGTATAGCTCCACTTCTGTCCCTGAAAACTTAATCTCTTTTACCTGTCTCATCACTATTCAATAGATCTAAAGTATGGTTCAGTGGTTGATTAACTCGACTTTCATCAGTGAATGGATATTGATGTTCAAGTTTGTCAATGTGTGTGTTGTGTTTCTCTCTCTCTCTCTTTCCATCTCCTCTCTCAACTCTAATCAGTAGCTTTAGCACTTGACACATGATGGCAAGATTGCACATTGGCATGTGTGGTACTGTATCATGTTTGTCTGTTTGTGTGTTAGTCACTTTCAACTATGTACTCTCTTTTACAGTTCTATTCAGTAGGCCTGGGCTTAATAAACTGGCACCAAAAATTGATATGTATGTGTATATTTATGTGTGTGTGTGTGTAAAGGGTATATGTGTATTAATCACAGCCTCTATCTCTCTCTCCTCATAGTGTAAATGGAGTCATCGCGAGGCTCTGGGGGCCTCTCTCGCGAATACAAGCTGGTGATGCTGGGAGAGGGGGGAGTGGGGAAGAGCGGTGAGGATCACACACACTCATAATTACACTTAACTGTACTCCTCCTCACGCTTACTTAGTGCAGGTCTTTGTTCCTTTCTTACTCCTCTCTATTTTACATATTATGTCTGACTTCGACTAAACTTCAACTCGGTCTTGATTTACATCATTACTTATTTTCTGCGAGTGGGATGTGTGTGTGTGTTTGTGTGTGAGAGAGAGGTAGAGACACACACCCTCCAAGTGCAGTCAGACAGTCAGAGTTCTCGTAAGCATGGGCGTCGGCCGCCTTCTACGGCAGTCTGGGGTGCAGTTTGGGTGCCTGTTGTCAGGAAGACGCATCAGTGCCTAGCAACCACCTTCCCCTTCTTGGCTACTGTTGCTGTGGAGACTGGCAGAGTTCACCTGGTATAGGTACACAGCAAAGTAATAAAAACATCGGGGAGAGGGAGGATATGGAGGGAGAGATGGGTCGTAAAAACAAGCGGCATTCTGATTTCATCTGTGCCTGTTGTCGTCATGGAAACTAGAGTGGGTGTACACTGACGCTGCAAAGGCGGAGATATGTGTGTGTGTCTGTGTGAGCTGCAGGGTGCGTTTATCTATGTATGTGAACCACTGGCCGCCTGGAGGGAGAAAAACAATAAGACGAAAGAGAGAGAGATGGAGAGAGGGAGGGGAAGTGTGTGATACAACCTGGGTTATGTAATAAAGTCTCCCGCATTGACTTCATAATCCGTCTCTCGCCCTCTTTCTCTCTCTCTTTCTTCCACTCTGTTTTCTGATTTACTGTAGTTTGTTTCTGATTTATTCTCTTTGGTTTATTGATGCAGTGCCTATGCAGCTTTTTGACAATGTAATTTGCCCCCAAAAAACGTGTTAAAACTTCTCTCTCTCTCTGTCTCTCCTCAGCTATAATCATGCAGTTTATCAGCCACAGGTTCCCTGAAGACCATGACCCCACCATAGGTGAGAGAGTGCTTGGTGTCTGATCAAAATACGGCGACTCGTATTTGGTCAAATTTGGCCTCCTTTAACCACACCAAAAGCTACTACATCAAATGAGTGATCAATGTTGTATTTTTAATCAGTTTATTAGGTAGTGCTCCTACAGACAGTGAGTCACGTGGCTTGCTATATAAAGCAGGCAGACAGGCATCGAGGCATTCAGTTACGGTTCGATTGAACGTTAGAATGGGCAAAACTAGTGACCTAAGCGATTTTGAGCGTGGTATGATCGTCGGGGCCAGGCACGCCAGATCCAGTGTCTCAGAAATGTCCGCCCTCCCCCCCACGCAGGGTTTCCCGAGAATGGCGCAGTGGTCTAAGGCACTGCATCGCAGTGCTAACTGTGCCACTAGCTGTGCCACTAGAGATCCTGGTTCGAATCCAGGCTCTGTCGTAGCCGGCCACAACCGGGAGACCCATGGGGCGGCGCACAATTGGCCCAGCGTCGTCCAGGGTAGGGGAGGGAAAGGCAGGCAGGGATGTAGCTCAATTGGTAGAGCATGGCGTTTGCAAAGCCAGGGTTGTGGGTTCGATTCCCGCGGGGGGCCAGTATGAAAAAAAAATGGTGCGACAAACAAAAAAATCCTGTCAGTGGCAGTCCTGTGGGTGAAAACAGCTAGTTGTTGAGAGAGATTGAAGGAGAATGGCAAGGATCGTGCGAGGACGTGTCGATTCATGCCACAGATGGGCTATTGCAGCAGACGACCACATCGGGTTCCACTCCTATCAGCTAAAAACAAGAAGAAGCGGCTTCAGTGGGCACACAATCACCAACACTGGACAGTTGAGTAGAGGAAAAACATCGCCTGGTCCGACAAATCCCGGTTCCTGTTGCGTCATGCTGATGGTAGAGTCAGGATTTGGTGTAAGCAGCATGAGTCCATGGACCCATCCTAACTGGTGTCAATGGTACAGGCTGGTGGCGGTGGTGTACCGCCGTCCAATCTGCAGCAACTGCGTGATGACATCGCGTCAGCATAGACCAACATCCCTGTGGAACGTGTCCGACTTGTAGAATCCATGCCCCGAATAATTCAGGCTGTTCTGAAGGCAAAGGGGGGTCCAACCCGGTACTAGATGGGTGTACCTAATAAACTGGCTGGTGAGTGGCTAGATAGATAGATAGTGTATACAGGTAACTGCCAAAATAATGGAAACACTTGAGTAAATGAGGGATGCAAAGTATATTGAAAGCAGGTTCTTCCACACAGGTGTGGTTCCTGAGTTAATGAAGCAATTAACATCCCATCATGCTTAGGGTCATGTATAAAAATACTGGGCAGACCATTATTTTGGCTACCATGGCTATGCCCCCATAGGATGACAATGCCTCCATCCACAGGGCACGAGTGGTCATTGAATGGTTTGATGAACATGAAAACGATGTAAACCATATGCCATGGCCGTCTCAGTCACCAGATCTCAACCCAATTGAACACTTATGGGATATTCTGGAGTGGTGCTTGAGACAGTGTTTTTCCACCACCATCAACAAAACGTACTGAAGGAGGGAACGAGGTATAACATACTATGGGGAGTCAACAACCAATCATATTCACCTGAAAAACTGAAATCACACACAACGGGCCAATGGATGCCGAGCCCGCCCTCAGAAGCACCGCCTTCCTGACTATAATACCGGGGCTCGCATCCATTTCCTCAATTCAGTAACACTTTTCAGCGAGCCAAAATATGTTATACCTCGTTCCATCCTTCAGGGAACAGTAGTTATATTCATAACTGTATGTTCCATTCAGTCGGCCACTCTGTATAACATACTATAGGGACATACAATCACGCCCCAAACCGACTCACAGGGTACCAAACAATGAGGCCCACGGCAAAAAGGGGTTACAGAAGTCACCCTTTTCCCTAATACTTACCTGAGAAGCCTGAACTGTCAGAGTCCCATATAGGGAACCAGAACCTGCTGCAACTTGGCTATGCACACTGACACGCTGCCACTATGCGCAAGTCCATAGATCCCACGGTTCCAAGAACAATACTTACCTGCGAGCCTGAAATGTCAGAACTCATATAAGGAACCGCAAGTCCAAAACAACAGAACACCTGTCGTGACTTGATAAAGCGCACACAGGCGCTCCATAGCATTGACCATTGTTGATGAACCACCGCCTATGACATGTAACTACACAATAATCCTGTATAGCCATTAAAATACCACTCAATGTCTCTCCCAGAGGATGCATACAAGACACAGATCCGCATCGATGATGAACCAGCCAACCTGGACATCCTGGACACAGCAGGACAGGTAACTTCCTCACAAATGGCTTCCATTGAAACGTCACGTCTCCACCTTCTTTGGCTGCATCTCATTCTCAATAGTCTAAAATGGCTTCCTCGCCTCCTCTCCTTAATCTACTGATCTGTAAACATAGGATAGGTGAAAGCAATATGAAAAAACACCTTGGAAGGACTGGGAATTTGCTTTCATCTGTCCAGTTCTTTCACATTAGTTCAGATAGAGCAATCGAGAAGAGGAGGGGAAACCCTCTCCCTCTATCCCAATGCTCACTTTCCTTTAAATCAATCCTTTCTGACTGTCTGTCCCTGTCTCTCAATTACATTCAATTCAATCATTCTTATTAGCATGATAACTTATCATTGATAAGTAATTATCTTACATTGCCAAAGCAAACCCAGAATAACATATTTCATTCTTTCATATCTCCCCTTCATCGTCATAACATCCAAGTCCTTATTCTTCTCAACTTCCTTTTAAGTAACGCTCACTCCATCTACTCCCTTTCTTTTTCCACAAACGTACATCATCTCTCACCCGCTCCCCGCAAGGTGTCTTTGCCTCTCTGACTCATCCATAGACACATGCATGGCTCACTTAGGATATTAGTCATTTTCTATAAATGGTCATGTACATGTTCTAAAATATATGCCCATGACTGGGTTTGTTCGTACCGTACCAAAGTCAGGGAAGTGTCCACACACAGGGCATTGTGTTTAGAGAGCTATTGCTCGGAGTGACCTAGACAGTCCACTGTGTCAAGTGACCCTTAACTTCTTAGTAATCTAAATTCAAATCTTTTTCAGTGGGTCTCCATGTTCTTCCTCTAGTAGCTTGTAGGACAGACAGAACGATGTATTGGTGATTGATTCTCTGGATGCTCTCAGGCATACAGACACACACACACACACACACTTTCGCTCACACTCATACCAGTACATGGATGTGTGTGTGTGTGGCATCTGGATATGTAATGTTATCTAAATATTTTGCTGTTATCCTTTCTGTATCAGTCCTTAATCACTCACTCTCCTTTTTCCTCTCTCCCTCTCCCTCTCACTCTCTCTCTCTCTCTCACTCTCACACACGCCCCTCTCCAGGCGGAGTTCACAGCCATGCGGGACCAGTACATGCGGGCAGGCGAGGGCTTCATCATCTCCTACTCCATCACAGATAGGCGGAGCTTACAGGAGGCGCGCCAGTTCAAGCAGCTCATTGACCGTGTGCGCCGCACCGCCAACACACCAGTGGTACTGGTGGGCAACAAGTCTGACCTGACCCATCTCCGACAGGTGAGAATTGTGGGAAAGAAGGAAGGAGGGAGGGGGAGAGGGACGCACATTGGTAGTCTTGGCACTAAAGTAGGTTTTGCCCACTATCTTGCGGCATTAAAATCTTACTGCTATTCAAAAGGCCAAACGTCACACATTTACTGGGAGATTTACAGATTGCCTGTCTGACTGGTATGGTATATGTATAGATTCCCCGGTAAATCTATAGATTTACTAAGGAGCCAGGGAATCTGTAGATTTACCAAGGAGACAGGGGATCTGTAGATTTACAAGGATACAGGATTTTTCAACATGGCATTTCCCTCCACTCCACTAGGTGTCAGTAGAGGAGGGAAAGGAGCTGGCCAGGGAGTTCCAGTGCCCCTTCTTCGAGACCTCCGCGGCATTTCGCTACTACATCGACGAGGTGTTCGCCGCCCTGGTCCGCCAGATTCGCCAGCGCGAGGCCGAGTCGGTCCGCGGCAGTGAGCGGAAGACCAGGAGAAGCCACTCATTTTGGAGCCGCATGCGCTGCACCTTCCACAAGAAACAGCACTCTGAGCACTGAGAGAGGGGCACTGTGGGATACGACAGTCCTCCAGTGGTACCCTTACAGCCCCAATTCCTCGTTCCAACTCCCACGAGGAGATCAATGACTCTTATCTGAGTTAGATTATGAGTGTTTGGAATGGGCAACTGAACTAACAATCGTTACTGAAGAGAATAGCCTCTTGTGCGCATTAGAGAAGGCAGGAACCGTGCTGATGTACCGTATGCTCATTGTGCAGAAAATTGGGTCTGGCTTTTAACAACAGTCGACGTTAGCATTTTAGTATCCAATGAAACCAATTGACTGTAGTGTTGTTGAATATTTTTTTTAATGCTGAGACAGCGTGGAGTTTGCCTGAAGTTACGACATTTCTCTTTGATGGAGAGCCAGAGATGAGACGTTTAGGTGTAACTATGTACCTCACAGGGAGGGAGGGAAGGGGTTGGAGGCCTGAAGAGATGGAGGCTTGAAGAGAGATAGAGATTATGGGGAATTGGGGAGGGAACGGGAAGGTCGAGCAAAGGCTGTGGGGCCCAAAGGAGCAGAATATTGAGAAGGTCATACAGTAGGTAAAGTGGCACAGGTATTGAGGAGTGAACTTAAAGTTTGATTTAAAGGTGGTTGGTTGGTAAATGCGAAGGGGTATGAGACGTGAGTTTGAAGATTAGAGGGAGAGTCCCAAAGGATGTGGAATATCTTGCCAGCCAAGGAAAAGGAAAGAGAAGGATGGAAATAATGAAAATATTGTAATATGGAAGATGATGAAAACAAGACGTTCTGATAGCATTCACTGTGCATTGAGGTCCCTCTCCATTTCAATTGAAAAGCCTTCATGGGTTATTGCTTAGTGTTTGTAAACTGACCAGCCTGTACTCAGGGTTGGTGCCATGTTGCAGTGGGAATACTTTGACAGTTGTGAACTGAGTTGCAGAGGATATTTAATACACAGGTGGTGTTGATGTTGACAAGACATTACTGTGCAGCATTGCCTAATATGGTCCACTGATCTATACTCGACCTGAATGGGCTGATAATTGGCATGGGAACGATGTTGATTCCATCCAAATTACATAAATCACTGGATTTTTTCTTTTTAGAATGGAATTTGATGGGCGTAGATGGCATTTTAATTTTGCTCTGCCTACAACAGGGTTGTCGTCATATAATGTTTCTAGTGTTTCAGTAAATAGAGACAATGCCAAGTACAGTACCTCTCCAGAGTGATTCACACTCCCTTATTACCCACTGACCTGTAGCACAACGGTTGTGCACTTATTATTTCAGCACTCCGTGGATCTGGTAGTGCCACATATGGGAGTATATTATGTGTTTTTTGTTTGTTTTATTCCTCTTGATCATGATTATTATTTTCCTTAATTTATTTTCTATTAACACACTCAAATAAAATGTACTGCCATTTTTTTCGAAATGTTGGTTGGGTGTGAGTTTTGTCTGGCCTCATTGTGTGTGTGAGTCGCCCCCCTGTAGCGGTATGAGGTTTCGCAGCAAATATAATCCACGGCAATGCGTTGCCTTGGCTTGAATATTGTTTTCGAATAACTACAATTGTTCGTTTTCATTTATGTTATCGCTTATTATACAATAGCGTGCGCCACTGAAAATGACGAAACGACTAATGCCATGTACAATACAATCAATATCCTGCGCTGTGCACGAACTTCCTATCAGTTACGTAGCTAATGAATACTCTGTGAAAGGTATTTTGCCTTTTTGTCCCTCCACAGATTCCGTCCATGGTTAAAGGAGATGTGAAGTTGTCCGTGTTGTGAAGCTAACTCTTTAGCACTTTTAAGTAACAAAATCAATCAACATTTTACAAGCTGTTGGCAGACGTGTGGGGCACATTGTGGACATATTGAACTGTGTATATAGCATTGGGCCGCTCTTGCCAGAAGACTGTATAGAACGTTGTGGTTTGCTAGCTAACACAGCACAGGCCTAATCCACGGTTGCAAGTGAACGCAAGTGGTACCTCTGTCGTGAGAATGGACTCTTGGGTTCGATTCAGTGCGCAGAGCCAAGCCAAGGAGCGAGTTTTCAGGTACAGTCGCTAGCTAAAATGTCATATAAGAGTTGAGATTTCTCAGACAGTAATATGTAATGTCAACAAGTCAGAATCAGCTGGCAGGTTTCAAGTTAAATTCATTACAGCCAGATACAGTAACGTTAGCTAGGGAGTTTCGTCCGCTTAAAGCGAGCTAGCACGAACGTTAGCAGGCAATGCAAACTGAAATCCACATAAGCATACAAAACATGAATGTATAAGAGGACGAAAAAAATACAAATAACAAAAAATATGTTTATCAAAAGTCGATGTGGGTGACCTTTTGTACCATTCAGTTCTCGACTTTGGTAGGTTTTTGGCTGCTGTTGTCACTACCTGTTTGCCCGTTTTATTGGGTACTGCGCCACAGCTCATATTTGGTTTCGAATTTAAGGGGGCCTGAGGGGGTCTCATGCACAATGCTAATTTCCAGCCTTTCCCTATCAAGTGGCCATAGTCCCAAATACATTTGGTATTATACTGATGGCTAGCTACATGAAAGTACCAGTTGCCCTTGACATGAAAACACACATTGTGCCCAAGTTATTCATCACAAGATGCAAACAATGACTAAACTATAGTAACATAGATATAATCAGATTTTGACACACATTTGATTCATTTTCTGTGTTCACACAGGGCTGCACAGTACGCCTGTACGTTGCTAGGCTACACTCTCCAGAAGGGTGGGGCAGGCATTGAGCGCCTGAAGATGGTGAAACAACTGGAAGCTCATATGAGCCTAACAAGGAAGTGTAAGTCAATGTTTGTAAGTCAATGCTGCACCTCTGTGTCTCACGATTATGGCTCAGGCTTACTCTCTGTACATCCATTGGTATTTCACTGTGCCTCAGTTCAGTTTCCTGGGTCTCACATCTCTCTCTCGCCAGTGATGCGTCTGGGGAACTCTGCAGAGGCTGTGGAGGCAGCGAAGCGTGCAATGCACCTCTCAGACAGCGTGCTGCGTCTCTGCCTGACCGTGGCCCACCTCAACAAGGCCATGTACTTCGCCTGTGACAACGTGCTGTGGGCCGGCAAAGCGGGCCTCCTGCCCAAGTTGGACCAGGACAAGTGGAGCCAGAGATCCTTCAGGTGACTGTTATAATTGGGAACCTTAAGCCCTAAAATACACCGTATTAGGAATCAGTATTTGAGTTGTCCATGGTAATCGGGAATCCTGTAGTGAACATTACTATTATTGGCAGTTGTTACCTACATTCTCTCTCCCTAGAGCTACGCTACATGACCAAAAGTATGTGGACACCTGCTCGTCGAACATCTCATTCCATGGGCATTAATATGGAGTTGGTCCCCCCTTTGCTGCTATAACATCATCCTCTCTTATGGGAAGGCTTTCCACTAGATGTTGGAACATTGCTGCGGGGACTTGCTTCCATTCAGCCACAAGAGCATTAGTGAGGTCGGGCACTGATGTTGGGCGATTAGGCCTGGCTCGCAGTCTGTGTTCCAATTCATCACAAAGGCGTTCGATAGGGTTGAGGTCAGGGCTCTGTTCTTCCACACCGACCTCGACAAACCATTTCTGTATGGACCTCACTTTGTGCACGGGGGAATTGTCATGCTGAAACAGGAAAGGGCTTTTCTCAAACTGTTGCCACAAAGTTGGACGCACAAAATTGTCTAGAATGTCACTGTATGCCGTAGCATTAATATTTCCCTTCACTGGAACTAAGGGGCCTAGCCTGAACCATGAAAAACAGCGCCAGACCATTATTCCTCCTCCACCAAACTTTACAGTTGGCATTATGCATTGGGGCAGGTAGCGTTCTCCTGGCATCCACCAAACCCAGATTTGTCCGTCAGACTGTCAGATGGTGAAGCGTGATTCATCACTCCAGAGAAAACGTTTTCCCATGCTCCAGAGTCCAATGGCGGCAAGCTTTACACCACTCCAACCGAAGCTTGGCATTGCGCATGGTGATCTTAGGCTTGTGTATGGCTGCTTGGCCATTGAAACCCATTTCATGAAGCTCCCAACGAACAGTTATTGTGCTGACGTTGCTTCCAGAGGAAGTTTATAACTCTGTAGTGAATATTGTAACCGAGGACAGACGATTTTTACGCGCTATGCACTTCAGCACTTGGCGGTCCCGTTTTCTGAGCTTGCATGGCCTACCACTTCGCGGCTGAGCCGTTGTTGCTCCTAGACGTTTTCCACTTCACAATAACAGCCCTTACAGTTGACCGGGGCAGCTCTAACAGGGCAGAAATGTGAAGAACTGACTTGTTGGAAAGGTGGCATCCTATGACGGCGCTCTTCAGTAAGGCCATTCTACTGCCAATGTTTGTCTATGGAGATTGCATGGCAGTGTGCTCGATTTTATACACCTGTCAGCAACGGGTGTGGCTGAAATAACCAAATCCACTAAACTGAAGGGGTGTCCTCATACTTTTGTATATACAGTGGGGGAAAAAGTATTTAGTCAGCCACCAATTGTGCAAGTTCTCCCACTTAAAAAGATGAGAGAGGCCTGTAATTTTCATCATAGATACACGTCAACTATGACAGACAAATTGAGACTTTTTTTCTCCAGAAAATCATATTGTAGGATTTTTTATGAATTTATTTGCAAATTATGGTGGAAAATAAGTATTTGGTCACCTACAAACAAGCAAGATTTCTGGCTCTCACAGACCTGTAACTTCTTCTTTAAGAGGCTCCTCTGTCCTCCACTCGTTACCTGTATTAATGGCACCTGTTTGAACTTGTTATCAGTATAAAAGACACCTGTCCACAACCTCAAACAGTCACACTCCAAACTCCACTATGGCCAAGACCAAAGAGCTGTCAAAGGACACCAGAAACAAAATTGTAGACCTGCACCAGGCTGGGAAGACAATCTGCAATAGGTAAGCAGCTTGGTTTGAAGAAATCAACTGTGGGAGCAATTATTAGGAAATGGAAGACATACAAGACCACTGATAATCTCCCTCGATCTGGGGCTCCATGCAAGATCTCACCCCGTGGGGTCAAAATGATCACAAGAACGGTGAGCAAAAATCCCAGAACCACACGGGGGGGCCTAGTGAATGACCTGCAGAGAGCTGGGACCAAAGTAACAAAGCCTACCATCAGTAACACACTACGCCGCCAGGGACTCAAATCCTGCAGTGCCAGACGTGTCCCCCTGCTTAAGCCAGTACATGTCCAGGCCCGTCTGAAGTTTGCTAGAGTGCATTTGGATGATCCAGAAGAGGATTGGGAGAATGTCATATGGTCAGATGAAACCAAAATAGAACTTTTTGGTAAAAACTCAACTCGTCGTGTTTGGAGGACAAAGAATGCTGAGTTGCATCCAAAGAACACCATACCTACTGTGAAGCATGGGGGTGGAAACATCATGCTTTGGGGCTGTTTTTCTGCAAAGGGACCAGGACGACTGATCCGTGTAAAGGAAAGAATGAATGGGGCCATGTATCGTGAGATTTTGAGTGAAAACCTCCTTCCATCAGCAAGGGCATTGAAGATGAAACGTGGCTGGGTCTTTCAGCATGACAATGATCCCAAACACACCGCCCGGGCAACGAAGGAGTGGCTTCGTAAAAAGCATTTCAAGGTCCTGGAGTGGCCTAGCCAGTCTCCAGATCTCAACCCCATAGAAAATCTTTGGAGGGAGTTGAAAGTCTGTGTTGCCCAGCGACAGCCCCAAAACATCACTGCTCTAGAGGAGATCTGCATGGAGGAATGGGCCAAAATACAAGCAACAGTGTGTGAAAACCTTGTGAAGACTTACAGAAAACATTTGACCTGTGTCATTGCCAACAAAGGGTATATAACAAAGTATTGAGAAACTTTTGTTATTGACCAAATACTTATTTTCCACCATAATTTGCAAATAAAATCGTAAAAAATCCTACAATGTGATTTTTTGGATTTTTTTTTCTCATTTTGTCTGTCATAGTTGACGTGTACCTAAGATGAAAATTACAGGCCTCTCTCATCTTTTTAAGTGGGAGAACTTGCACAATTGGTGGCTGACTGAATACTTTTTCCCCCCCACTGTATAGTGTATTTTTTCGATCACTTTCATTCTCTAATTCCTCGAACTGTCCCTCTTTTCCCTCTGCCACTTTTTATTTTGTTTAATGTCTTCTACATCCTTTCTTCCGGTCTTGCACTAGCTTTACTCTCATATTTTACATGAATCTCCCTCTGTCTCACACGCTCTCACACATTTCTCTCTCTCTCTACAGGTACTACCTCTTTGCCCTCATCCTTAACCTAACCCGGGACGCCTACGAGATCCGCCTGCTTATGGAGCGTGAGGCCCGCTCCTCCCACGGGGGGTCAAATGCTACCTGGACTTTCCCTCCCTCCTCTCCATCCCCCGAGAACGGCGACCTCTCCCACCCCCACCCCTCTTCCTCCTCCTTCCCCGCGGCCATATTACCCCTTCTGTCCGAACGCCTCGGCAGACAGTTCCACCTGCTGGGGATGGTGCTGCGCAGCAACCCACCACTGCTGCTGGACCTGCTGAAGAACGCATGCGATGTGTTTATCCCGTTGGACCGGCTGGGCATCTACCCCACCGGCCAGGGCTTCGTGGGGGCCTGTGGCCTGGCCTCCTCGGTTCTCTCCATCCTCACCATCGTCCACCCCTGGCTCAAGCTCAAACCGTGAAGAAGCCAGAATTTTTGGTTGAACGTTCTAGCTCAAGTCAAACATTCCTCAAGCTTAAGCTTTAAAGGAGGCATTTTGGCAGAGTGTTTTAGATCCACTAGTAGAAGTCTAGAAGTACTGTTGTGTCGAAGGATGCAGCATGACGGGTCCTGTACACTGTTTGCTTGGAACGTTTAGCGTTTTTATTTGGAATGCCAACATTTTGGGCAGATCATGCTCGGATAAAGGTTGGTGGACTGAAACAGTAGTATTTTGAATCAAAGAGAGAGAATTTGCAATTGAGCGGTGTATTGGAATTCCGTCTTTTGTATCCTGCTCATGCTCTAATATTTTCAAACACAGAATTCCCCAAAAGCCGTTTGGTTTGGTAGTTGAGAAGGACCTTCCCTATGCAAGTGTATTGAACCGGCACATTGAACATCGTTCAGTCCGAATGGTAGACCCATAGACATAGACGCATAAACACCCTAAAGTAAAATCCATAAAGCTTGTCAGTTGTGATTTACCCAGGCTTTAAAGGAAAACTCTACCAAAAACTGTCTTTTGGTATTTGTTTCATTTATCCATTGTTGAGCAGTCACGTTTTCAAGATGTATAACTTTCTAAATACTTTTTTTGCATCATGCAAAATGAATCATACCGGCTGTATTTCTGTATTTTGAAAGTTATACATCCTAACTTGATCACTGTCATTAAAAATATTTTGGTACTATATCAACAATGGACTAATAAAACAAATACCAAAAGATAGTTTTTGGGTGGAGTTTTCCTTTAAAGCCTGGGTAAATCACAACTGACAGGCTTTATGAAGTTATACATAGCAAAACGAAAGCCAGAATGTCGTTCAGTGAGTGTCTGAAAGGGATACTTCAGGATTTTGGCAATGATAGCCCTTTATCTACTTCCCCAGAGTCAGATGAACTCGTGGATTCCATTTTTATGAACTCTCAAGCTGTGGGGAGCACATGACAAACCCCCATCTGTGAACCAAGTATGGGGATGATTTATATGATCTTCTCAGATGATTGTGAGGAGCAGCTGTCTTGCATGTCTCAAGTCCAAACTTCTCTGTCAAAGGGGAGAGACCACGTCCACAAATACTACTAACTGTCCTCTTTCTTAACTTGCACTTAGTTTATAACCTTAATCAGCATTTGAAATGGATCCTGGTCTCTATTAGGAAAGTGCTTCCACATCCCTATACATACTGTTTCTGTCCTGTTAGCATTGAAAATGATACCATTGGAGAAGATGATCTGTACCTACAGCATTGGTTTGGGAGATAGGCCTATTGTCCAATGTTATCCCTGATGAACGCCGTATAGATAGATATGTGGAACATCTTCCTCAGTTAATTAAAGTCATAACATAAAAAAGCTTTATTTCTATGAAGAGGTGCAATAAAATATTTTCTCATTCAGCCAACCCGGGCATCTAATGATTCTGTCCATTTAACTATATAATTTGTTGAATTCACCCAACAGCTAATTATTTAGTCTACTTGTAAGTACATTTGTTAAGGTACTTATAGGTCAATTTGTATAATCAATTACATCATTATTATGTATTAATGCCATGCCATTTAAAGCCACTGAACCAGATACGAGTTAAACTATATTAGAAATGTAAGTGTATTCAGCTGCAATGACACAGCAGTGGGATAAAGCCATGCTAACTTTCAAATGGCTAATTTAAAACATTTGACTTTCTCCTTTATATACACTGTTACAGTGCAACAAGAGCACTATGCTAGGAGTCAAAGTGTGCCATTTGGTCTCTGGCTGGCTAGCAAAACAATTTATTACTCGTTCTCCTTGACAGGCTAATTGTGGACATGATTTCTGGTATAATCTCCTCCACTACTTTTGAGTCCTGAGTCACACTGTAGAGGTGTAACTGTTGATGATTCTGTATAATAATGTATGGTTTTGTAAATAATCCAGTAAATAATATTTGTCATGTTTTGATGAGAATCGGAGTGGTTTGTTAACCATTTTCCTCAGTGAGGGAGGACATTTTTATAGCCATGTAAAGATCTTTGAAATCTTGTCTTGATGCTAATGTACCACCAGTGCTGAAGCTTGGCTGCTGTGTGGAGAAAAGTTTTCACAAAATAAAATAAATTCCTTTGATTTAAGCTTTGTTGGCTGTATCTGTATTGTGTAAGTGTCGAGGGTTATTCCAGTGCTGTTAACTGCTATGACTCAAGCAGTTTTACATTTCAGACTTTAGTAATTAACAGACAATGTTTTTTTAAAGGTATCTGTGACCAACAGATGCATATCTGTATTCCCAGTCATGTGAAATCCATAGATTAGGGCCTAATTAATGTATTTCAATTGGCTGATTTCCTTATCTGAATTGTAACTCAGTAAAATCTTTGAAATTCTTGCATGTTGCGTTTATATTTTTGTTCAGTATATAATCAGTGAGGACTTTGTATTGAGCCCTGGGGGACACCAGTAGCGAGACCATCCTTCAGCTTACTGATCTTCAGTAAAAGGAAACGAAAACAACATGTTGGATGTTAACCAAGGATTCAAATATCAACTGTCCAGTTATTTCACCTGTCTTGTTAATTTTCACATCAGTGCAGATTAAGTAATATAGATGAAAGGACGCCATTTTAATATTATTGACCTGCACGTAATGGTAGACTGAGCGTGTTTGAGGTGTGTGTGAAGGCCATTCTTTAGCCCTATTCAGAGGGGATACATTTTACAGCGGCATCCGTAATTTTAGTCCCGCCCGAATCTACCATGTCAGTCATTTTTACCTGGCAGGAAGGTTATTATCCCAGCCCTAAAAACCTACTGTTTTTCGGCAAACTCTAAGGTCCTCTGATAATACTTATCCCGTGCGAATCGGTATCCCTGTGTTTTGAGGGATATTACAGAGTTTAACAGCTGCTGCACCCAGTTTGGGTAAGAACATGGGAACAAATTGATGCTTAAAATAAAGTGCTATGCACGTAGCCTACAGATGAATGATCTGTTATGTCACATATCAACTTTCCTAGTGCCATACTTCTCTTTTAAAAGATGAAGTTAACGATATTGTGCCAATGAATTGATAAATTGCCAAATACGTCAGGTAATTAAATGTCTGCATAGGTTACAGTTAATGGTTCTTATTGATATGCATTATTAGGCCAATATTAGGTTATCCCTAGACAATTGAAATATCTTCACCCCTAGAAGAGCCTCCAGGCTTCCATCATAACGGTCAATTGTGAATGAGGAAAACAAATAATTACAGGGGCAGTTTGGTCTAACTAATCCCGTCCGAATAGTCCACTGGAAAAACGGACATGCTTGGGTAATAATTACATAACTGACGTTCTATAGTAATACTAGTCCCATGCGAATAGGGCTTAAATGAGAGGCCCTCGTCTGATACAGCAGTCTGAAAATGTTATCCCTGTAACCTTGAATGGAACATGTTGTGACTGGCCCCTCAGTGATATATTGAGGAGGGTTCTATGTAGAGTACTGAATCATTTTATGTTATGTTATGCTCTAGACCAGGACTTCCCAAACTCGGTCCTGTGGTGGACCATTTACCCTCTGAATGGCACACATACACAATCCATGTCTCAAGGCTTACAAATCCTTCTTTATCCTGTCTCCACCCCTTCGTTGACACTGATTGAAGTGGATTTAACAGGTGATATCAATAAGGGATCATAGCCTTCACCTGGATTCACCTGGTCAGTCTATGTCATGGAAAGAGCAGGTGTTCCTTATGTTTGGTACACACAGTGTTTACCCTACTGAAAACGTCTACTTCATGCAGTCCCTCTTATCAACACAAGAGGACGGCCTTGTTCAGTAAATGCATGAAGGACAAATTACACAATTGGTTTTTGTACACTGTTGCATTTCTACTGTTATTTCAAATTTTTTGAAAATTAGATAAGGAATGTCAAGAATGGCGTGACATCCAACTCATCAGAATAGTATGCTGTCATAGTCCAAGCAATTACTACGAGCAATGTTGGGTTTAATGAATAGCATATCAATGCGAGCGTGCACGGCGCATGCATGTGTAGGTGCATGCATGTGGGAGAGTGTGTGTGAGTTTTGCCCAGGAATTCTCAGACAATAGGTGAAAGGTAACTGTCAATATATGGTGATAAGCACTGCATTGGCCTGTATTTAACCTACCAGTAGCCCAGTAGACAAGAGGTCAGTGATGTCTGTAGATAACAGGTTAAAGGTCATATATATTAATTATGTAACTATTGGCCTATCTGTGTGCCATAAATAGGGCTGAAGATCTTTTTGTGAAATCCCTATCAGTATACTATATACAGTGTTGACTGCATAATCAATCATTTATTTTGATTTCAATGAACATATTTTTTAAATATATTTTTATTTCAGGTGATATTGGGGTGAAATAAGTCTAAGGTAAAGCTTATAGGGTAAGTACAAGTTGAAACAGGGCTGTATGTAGTAACAAGTAGTCACAAATTGTGTTGAATTATTTGAAGCAAGTACCAGAAATATTCCATTATTATCCACATCATGTTTGCGTAAATATAATATCCATTATAATCCAGTATATTATAAAGTAGCAGCTGAAACAGTGTTACTACTTCTATGTTATGATGCCAATGTGGATTAGGTTATTGAGGTTGGGTTTTTGGGGGGGTTGACTGAAGTGATCATGACAGTCGTTTACCTGCATTATCCTAAAGTTCTTTGAAAGAGTTAGCAGGTACAGTGAATGGCAGGTATTTACCCAAGGTCAAATAGAATGCATTGCTGAGTACTGTATGCACCTTTGTGATGATTACTGAGTGTCTGTGTACTTTACTGTGTGTGAGTGTGTGTGAGTGTGTGCGCATGTGTGTTTTGTCACGTGTGTACAGTTTGTACAAACTTTTGATGTTAAAACTGAATGCCTTGACAACATAAAGGAAGGAACCAAACAGTGAATAATTCTGTGTGTCTTTGGTCACATGTTAGCAGAGCGTTTATGTATAAATTAATGTT